CGTCCGACATGCCTTTAAGTAATAATGGTTATTTTTATGCAAATAAGTTCGATTAATGGGAGAAAATTTTGCGTTGGACTTATTGGCTCACGTTCTGCTTTTAAGGGAATGGTCCCACCTCCACCGTACCCATTTCCGCCGAGTGGAATGATGCCAGGTGGTCCAGGAATGCCATCCAATCCAGGTATATTGCGCTTTGATGTCATTTCTGATCTCATGCTTCAAAGTCGAATAGAAGGTGATGAAGATGAAAAAGGCTAGAAATGAAGAACAGAATGTAGACGTAAATAAAACAGAAATTGTGAAAAATCAAGGAAATGCTAATTAATTAAAATCGCGTGTAAATTGCTGCGATCTGGCGCGAATCCGGTCCCAGAGCCATAGAAATACTTCGAACTAACGAGTGGGACGCTTAGGCCGTTTTTACTTTCATGTTTCGTGAAATGCGCGACCTCCGAGGGCCGAGGGATATTGCAGAAGCAGCACAGTTGCTCTTGAGTGCTGGCTCTTGTCATGATCTTCGGTTCTTATTTTGCAGCACCTCAAATGTTATCCGCATCAGGAAATTGCTTTTACTTGTATTCCAAAGCGCAATTACAGACTTGGCAAAGTGCCGAGAGAGCCGCACGCGACACGCGCGCTTACGACGGATGTAAGCATGAACGGGAATCTGCGCCACAAAAAGGTATAAGGCGGAGCATGGAGAAATTAGCTTGCTTCACGGTACTGTATCTCCATTCCTGCGCATGTTAGGACGGGGAAACCGCTAGACTTTGACAGCTGGCGGGCTGATAGTCACACACACCCAAACTATGTGTGGTCGTGCCGTGTGTCTTCAATCCGGAGTTCCGTTCCTAGTTTCACTGCGAGGGATTTGACCACAAGAAAACTTTAGACCACGTATCATAAGTTTCCTTGTGAAACCGTTTTGAACCCTTCCCTACATAATCTCTTTGAGCTTATGAAGGCTAAACACAAGAGTATCGTATTCAACAACTGGTTTTATGAAAGTTTTGTAAGCTTGAGGTAGCACCGATACGTCCTTGGTCGAAAGAGTATGAGCAAGTTGTGCATCAATGTAGTAGCTTTGCTGGCTATCATTGAGCAGTATGCGCTGAAATTCAAGCTATCTAAGCCCAGAAATTCCAAGTCGTGCACTTCACGTGCCCTTCTAAAAGCTGTGCCGTTCATGCCACAGCGGTGCCTAACGTTATATCCTGAGTGTAGTACACTCGGTTTCACATCAAAGAGTGGCAAATCCCATTGCTGCAACCACTCAACTACTATATCGAATGCGTTCCGTGGCGCAGATGCGTCTTCGTGACCTTTTATTGGCAAGTTAATTTAAGATCATCAGCAAATGCACAAAATTTCACAAGGCTGGAAGAGCAGACTGAGTTAATCGTAGGTATAAATATTGAGAAGGATTGGAGAAAACACGCCACCAGTGGACACAACTATTGGCTTTGAAAAGAACGAGTGAACCCGCACAACAAAGCCCTCCCAGGCAAAAAACATGTTCGAGGACTGTTCCCAACCCTTCCCATTTTCTGAAGCAGTTTGGCATGTGGTACAGTGTCAAAAGTTTTACAAAAATCAAGATGAATCATACTGACATTTTTGCCGTCATATATACCATTTTTACTTTAAATCGGACACTTTTCAAACCAAATCGGACACTTTTCAAACCAAAACGGACACTTTTCAAATCGAATCGGACACACCCCTCTCAATGGGCAGTTGAGAACTAAACCGCACTAGGTACTGCTGCAAGCCCCGCCCCAACCTCCCCGCCCACTGCTTAGCGCGGTCATGGTTTTCCAGATGTTATATGAATTCTGCTTCTTCGATTTTTTCACTTTTGCTAGTTGGCACACACATTCAACTGAATAGGTTTTCTACCGACACATATATGACTCCGCCCACTTCACAAGGAAGTGGCGTAAGTTCTGAGTTCTTATAATTTTTTTCGACGTTGCTTTTTTCACATTAAATCTTCACTCATGCATTTACACACTAGCACACTAGCCCCGCCGCTCTGATCACGCCCACTTCCGTTTTTCGCGGATTTCCGATTTTCTTCCGAAATTTCACTTTTTTAAGCTGTGACAAGCGACCCCGCCCAATTTTAAAAAATGCTGCAGGTCGGCAAACTAGTGACCGTACTGGCAGGTTATAGCCTCTCCCGTCACCCGGAAAAAATTCCCTTTTTTTGGTCTTCCCCTTTTTTCATTCTATGTGACGGGAGAGGGCATAACCTGCAGTACGGTCACCAACTCGCCGATCTGCATCATTCTTCAGAAGTGGGCGAAGCTCTACAAAGTGGGCAGGGCCTCCGTCAGTGGGCGGACGCTTGTCACGGTCTAAAAAAGTGAAAATTCGGAAGAAAGATCAAAAGTCGACGAAAAACAGAAGTGGCGTGGTCAGAGGGGCGGGGTTAATGTGTAAATGCATGGCTATATTAGTTTAGTGAAGAATGAATGTGAAAACAACGACGTCGAAAAAAAGCTATAAGAACTCGAAACTTACGTCACTTTATTGCGAAGTGGACAGAGTCATATATGTGTCGGTAGAAAACCTATTCAGTTAAATGTGTGTGTCTAGTAGCAAAAGTAAAAAAAAATTAGAAGAAGCAGAATTCATAAAACATCTGGCAAACCATGGCCGCGCTAAGAAGTGGGCGGAGATGTTGGGGCGGGGCTTGCAGCAGTTCCTAGTGTGGTCTAGTTCTCAACTGCCCAATGTAAGAGGTGTCTCCGTACTGAAAAACTGTCCGATTTGGTTTGTAAAGTGTCCGTTTTGGTTTGAAAAGTGTCCATTTGGTTTGTAAAGTGTTCGACTTGGTTTGAAAAGTGTCCGATTTAAAGTGGAAATGGTATAAACACTCGGTCCAGTCATTGAGCGCCTGCACCATCGCCGTGACCGTTGCCTCCTGAAACTCACGCTGACAGGGAGAGATGACCGAATTCATATTCACTTCACATAGTCAAGCGAATACCAAAATTACACTTACCGGTCTGAAATTCTCAGCTTTCGTATATGGTCTTTTTTCCGGTATGGGTGTTATTGAAGACTGGGTCCACCTGAAAAGTGCTTCAGATTTCATGAAGCTTAGGTTGAAGTATCCCGGTAGACCGCTTATGACATGAGCAACCTTACTTATGAACGACAAGGGAATAGTCAATAAGGGATTCTGAACGGGGCTACTTAGGAAGGGTCTCCAGAATGCTGTCCCTTCTGAACCAGGGGGAATCTTCCATAATAGAAAATTACACTCTAATTATTGTAAAGTTGCACAATAATACCTCATTGCTCCCACCAAAATGGGTCTCAAACGCAAGCCAACACGTCGGCTGGCTTTGCCGAAGTGTTGGCTTCCGCGTTGAATGATGCGTGTTGAGTGTTGGCGTCGAGACAGGCCTCTCCTCAGGTGCGCACAGAGCTTGCAGCTTTGGCTCAACGACACTATTCTTTCTCCGACAGAAGCATTATATTTACGTAGCCTAGATTCAAGTGTCTTGTTGATGTGTAAAGACTCCGAGTTTTCCATAGTGTCTGGAATTTCCGCTTCCTTCCAAAGATGTTCTCCCTTGTGCATCCACGTGTCTAGATACTGTGGCAGGAACGACTTCTGTGATTTCTTCTCAGTAGCTGGCACAAATAATTCAGTAGCATGGTAGAGAATCGCTAAGAACAGTTTGGACGTTATTCGAAGACCCATACCACAAGACAACTTTGACCCATTCGTGACAATGTCCGCCACTGGTGGTGGACACCGAAATGTCCACTTGGGACCGTGTCCACTATATGTAGCGGACAGGCTTTTCAAGAGATTTTTTAGAAACACTTCAAGTTCTTCAAGGGAACTTTCTCAACAGAGCACTTGTACATACCTTTACTAATTCAAGCAAGTAGCGAACAACCAGATCTTCGGTTGCAATTCTAGGCATGATCCAACTAGCAGCACCTGAGCTCTGAAATCTCTGGGACGGTAGTAATTTGTCTAAATCTCGCAATCAAATGTGATGAGTTGCTCGCAGTTATGCAGAACAACGAGCGATGTATGAGCGAGGCAACCACGCTGGAAACAACGAGCTTCGCTAGGCTATTTGCAAAACTTCGCTCAGCGGTCGGTATCGATCTCATCACCATGGGAGTGGTAGGTACAATTGTCGCTACGCTAACCATTAGTATGCCGACTTCGCGGCGGTCCCTGGTAACAAACAATGAACTGAACATGGCAGTCACTTATGTTTTCACTCAAATTAGTTAGTCAAATTTTCATTTTTTTTTATTCTCACCTTCATCCCCCTAGTCGATTAGGTTAATTGGCTACATCATTTCATATTCTAATGACACATCTTTATATGATATTTGCCTTTTTTTCTAATCACCCCTTGTACCCGTTTTACTAGAAAATATTTCACTTTTTTCAAAGTTTCTCTTCAACTGTGCAATGGATGGCCACGCCCTGCCCACATCTCGATTTACATCCTGCGGGCCATCACCCTACACCCACTTTTGTCCTCCCGCGTATACTAGGCCTTTGGATCTAAAGCATTCAGGCACTTCGGAAGGCTGTTGACGAACCCCGCCAGCTCGCGACCACAGAGATGGCCATCTTTGAAAAAGTCCTCTGGAGCGACTTTTTACTGCACAGAACGGCCACTATTTCGGCTCTCGCGAGTTGCGGCAGATGTCTCACCCCTCGTGGTGTGAGACTCAAGTTGCGACATCGGGAACGTCGCCGTTCAACGGAGGATAGCAATGTTCACCTCAGGTCGTGGTATCGACCACCCAACCTCGACCTTTTCTTAATTGAAGTCTCTGAATAGGCGTTGGACATCGTTACCGCGAGCTGAGTGGTTACTCGTGAAACTGCCAGTTTATGCACATTGACTACCGCCCCTGCAAAACTCTGCTCGAAAAATTGCCTGTAGGACTTACTCAGTGTCACTCGTACAAAGTATGACGTCCCGATTCAGGCACAGCGCAGTTTAACGCACCAGCGTGCCAAGTCGTGATTTTTCTCTTCGTTTTTTTCAGTCATGCGAGGCGCAGGTGGCGAGTGACAAGTGGCGCGCTTAACACTCCGCGCGGCCCGGTTCGAATCTCGTGAGCCCACGCGCAGGCCACCCAAGGCCTCCGATCCTCCGGCGACGTAAAGTGAAACCAGATTGCTTCTGGGAGATGAAACACTGACTGGATACATCGCTGGCCACCTCAAATCATTGTATAATCCACATCGCATTCAATAGACCACTACAACTAGAATGCGTGCCGCATCCCACAAAGGGATTGATCAAAGGCGAAGACTTTATCCTTTTTTATCCTTTTTTCCATCATATCAACTTCCGTAGTGAGGTTATTTGACGTCATGACTCAACCTACACTCATTCTCGGTGCTGGTGTCATAACCGCTTTCGTGCGGAGCTGTGCGCTAGGGCAGCAAGGGAAACGATGAAGAAAATCGGCACTCTCTCTGGTTGGGTGATGGTGATCCTATCCTTTGCTGAAGCCCAGCAAGGGATCACTATATGGGGGAAGGGTGCAGGTGAGCAGTAGCGGTTGCGCTATGACTGTACTCCTTTGCTCCATCCTAAACACCCTCAACGCCTCATATGTTTCAGCCAATGTGATAATTTCGTGTATTTTAGCGCCGACGCCTGTGGCGCGGGCTCCAGTAGTCTTCGCGTCGAGCGGATGGAATATAACTCTTATGTTGTCACTCCTCAGATGACAACTTTTAGTCAATTCTAATCGTGTAGAAAAAGTCCATGAAACACTGGCTTGAATTCGGATGATTGGAGCAGTGAAGGGCAAAGAGTGCCCGAATATTCGCTATGATGCCGGCGCCCACTTGCACCAATGGGAGCCACCTTGGTGCCATCACCTCTTCCATCCAAATTTATGTAGACTTGGATACAAGGGCTATTCGTTGTCCTGCTCATTGATATGACATTCATTTTTAGCACAAGCGCGAAGGCACTGCGTTCATCTGCGCTCTGCTAAGGCTGAGCTTGGGAGGTGTGAATCACTCTTCCTACGAATTCAGCAAGATATGACAAAATACTTCTGCAGTTCGCAATTGCTGAATTACATCTCGATACTATAGAATGAGTCAGCGCGCACGCATTAACTTGGACATGTAGCGAGTAGTGATCAATGAAGGCTAGCGGGAACTTCCTCTGACCACCTGGCTTCTGGGGAAGCACCTCTGAGACTAAGCTCGCGTAATTGGACATGACAAGGTCAAGGAGAAGTCACCCTTTTGCAGTCGCGACCAATTGTGTAAGACCATAATTCGACAAAATTTCCTGATATTGAGGGCATTGCAACTACTGGTTGCTTTAGGCTTGTCCCACTGCAGCTCTGGGACATTGATCCTGGCATAACACAGGACGAACTGCGAGATGTAACATCAGCGATAGTTTTGAGCAACTGATCAGTCAAGGCGGCTGTTCAACTGGGTGTTCTATAAACTAGTACAACTCGTGTAGAACTGAGACCAGTGCATAAGTCATAACGAACTTAACAGCATTTCGGGGCAGACAAACTGTGCATCACAACTGGTGCGAGAGAGTTGCGAACCAGCGTAGCCACACCATCTCCCCTTATCCCGGTCACATCTGATCACTGTATAATTGGGATAACAATTGCTCAGCAGCAGAGCAAATCAACTGTTGGATTTAACCAGGTCTCAGTTAAAGGCAGCGCCCGCGTTCATTTATTTTCCCCCCCCCCCCCCCCTTAGATATCGTAGCTCTGTCGACAAGGTCGAGGATGTACTAATTTCGCAGCTCAAAAGTACGAGAGGATGGGGCCACCCGCTTGTGAATGGGAGACCGCCCCGCCCACCTGGCTAGCATAGGATTCTATTTAGGGCATTTTCCATGATTTTTTTTCTGCTTTTTTCTTCACTACTGGATCACGTGTTATATGAGCTCCATGACTCGTCATTCTTGAAAGCGGGCTCAGCCTTTGAAGGTTAAGCCAAAGCAGGCATGGCTGCTAGGTGGGCGGGGCGGTCTCCCATTCACAAGCGGGTGCCGCATCCTGTCGTACTTTTGAGCTGCGAAATTAGTACATCCTCCACCCTTGTCGACAGAGCTACAATATCTAGGGACGGCGTAGGAACATCAAATGAGCGCGGGCGCTGCCTTTAAAGCAAAATGTCAGTGCTTCTTTTAAGGAATAGAGTGAGTGTATGCAATGTTCTAACAATAGATCGTGTATCAGCCACCACACAAAGTAAGCAAGTGATGACTAAGTTTTCAGTCGAGGCCTCATGGGTTTCCTATGCTAGCCATAGCATTGAATGAAGATAAGTCAGAAACTGGATCCAGAGCTCGGCTAAGAGCAGCACTATTGTCAGTGCTTACAGTCAATAACGACATTCTGCAGAAAGAAATCCAACACGTCGAAGACCTTCTCAAGCAGATTTCAAGCATCAGAATCAACTATTACGTCGGCTTTCCCAATGAGAGCGTCGTCCCATTTGACTCACATGCGACAGCTATTGGAATCTCCCCGCGGCACGCTCGACTCCGTTGACTCCGTTGAGGTGAAGAACATCAGCGTCACGATGGAAAAGATCGAGCAATTCATGAAGTCAGTCGACCAAAAGCTGTCAGAAATCATGGCCACACAGAAGATGGACGCAGAACTCCTATTGGACGCTCAGATAAACTTGATGGTCCAGCTCAGAAAAGCAATACAAGGAGTACAAGAAGATCCACTGCAATCAGACGAAGAGCCTTCAGCCTTTCCAACCGAAAAGAAGAACCGGAGGAGGTCATGCAGGCCCGAAAGCGCCTGCAAGAACTGAAAGATGTCAAAGATAGATCAAAGAACGCAGACGCCACTCATCTGTTACCTAACCCCTAGATGCTGCCTTTGCTCTGCCACAGGCGAACACGATAGCGACCACTGCTACAGATACCGCACAGTCGCAGAAAGAAGCAGGTTCATCGCAGATGCCGCACTTTGCACGCATGCCTCAGACTATACCCAAAGCCATGCCAAGTTGAAACCCGCTGCATTTACTGCACTCTGCTCTGTGAATTCCAGAAGAAAAACAGTTTTGCAGGGAACTCATCCGAAAATGGGAGATACTCGGCGGCTACAGTGCACTTGATCAACGCGAACAGTTCAAAACGCACATCAATACGATCGTGCGGGAAACGCCACTATATAAGGACTGCCAGACGGACAGACATCACTGCTTTTGCGCCCCCTCCCGCTCCGCTCATATCCCACTTCTCTTTCGGCTTCGGCCCCTTGAGTCATACTGATTCTTTTGCTACTGATCGTACGCTTCATTGATTGCCATCTTCATACTTTGCAGTCTCTTTGCGTACGAGCTTAGCATAGCACTTGTTCCACTTTTATTCAGTTTCTATTCTACCTTGCCCACGATTTACTTAAATGAGATCTAGTTCACAGTGCTTTCGCCAAAGGCATCTCATATCATACAGGTTTTCATGTTGTGGGTTACATAACCGGCACTTTGTATAAAAGTTACTGTTATTACTCTGTTAGTTCGTTATTCCTTTGAATAATCACTATTTGTGAAGACAAATTGCTGTTTCTTAACGTTGTCGTAATCCGTCGATTTTCAACGCTCAGTCGTTAATACAGTTTAATTACCCAAGTTTGAGGTTCGAGTCGGTTGTTCCGTCAATATCAGAATTGCTGTGATCGTGTCCTCTATTATTTACA